CACTTTTGACCCACATGGTGCGTCATCGGCAAAACGGGTGACAGGACAGGTCGCATGACTCATAGAGTCACTGGTCTTCAACATCTTACGAGTTCATCATATCGAAATCTAATTCAGGTTTCGGGCTGTTTTTTATTTTATTTACATTCTTATTAACAATTTGACTGCGAGGTGATTTTTACTGGAAATTCGAAGAGTGTGAATTTAAAAAAAAATATCAGCTTATAGTGAACGAGAAGGCGGAACTGTTTTTATAATTGCAATTTCTTCGCACGACGTTTAGTTTCAAAAATAAAAATTAATAACCTGAGAGATCTCGTAGTGGTCCGATCCTGTTGCTGTTGTTTATATTTGTGTTCCTACGATACAGTCGAATATGTTTAAACTTCTACAAATGTTAGCAGTCCTACAAATTCTACCAGTTCCCGGTAGCAAAGATCATTCTGGTATCTTCCTAGACTCGAGTATGTATCTTTTACAGACTCTTCTAGCCAGGTAACTATACGCGTGTAATTCTGAAGCACCCTGTACGCTCCATGGCTAACATCGGTGGTATACAAAATGTTCATTCCGGCTGGAAAGGTTAACGTTTCTCAAGCGAAGCCTTTGTAACTAAAAATACCATTCCGACAAATAACTTGCACGAGCAGCTTAGTTACGTCACTTGAATGCAGCGTTACCGTAACAGTGTTGGCGTACGAGATGTTAAGGACTCTCGATTATTCTGTTACGGATACTGTTCGTATATCGCTAGGGAATTTCTCTGGCTATCTAATAAATATAACTCCATCGGTATATTTCATTGACTTTTTCGCAGCGTGTGTTGGATTGAGAATAGAGGCTCGCAATAATTTGGTATTTACGAGTAGAAAGTATTTATAACAATTTAATTAGACCTTCCACCATAGTCTCGAGATTAACAGATGTATGTTATTGCGACGAACCATGTTATTATTCTTCTCAAAATTACGTGCAGAAGTCAATCAATGTTTCCTTAGATATTATTTAATTTCGAATTAGAAAATTGGTTGACGTTTTAATCTGTATATATAATCGTAATATTAACTTGTAGTAAATATATATTTCTACAGGATAATACTACGATTAGCGATAAGTCAAGAGTTACAGTTACCAACTACATTAACAGACAAGCCATCGTGTGTATGTTGACATTTTTTTCTTTGTTGTGAATTGTCGACATTTCGCTAATAAGTTTCTAGCAATACAACGTAGTCGAGGTTTCTGAATTGAATGTACTTTCGAGTCATAATAATAAACACAGGTTTATTATTATGGCGCGGAACGAACATGTCCATGTACATGACTTTTCACGTACAATTTTCCATTGAAAGGAAACATTTGTTACCACCGAATAAGCAATAAAAGACTGTATAAGTTTCATGAAGATCTGGTTGATAGAATATTTTTTAAAAATTCGTGAAAAAATGCCTGATTTTCAGTGTTCTGAACCGAGCTCCCCTCTTAAGGGGGGTATCCTGAATTAGAAGGTGTAAAAAAGAAAAACAGTTTTCTTCTATGTGAACTAAGAAAAACCCGTAAAAATGGTGAAATGTGAAATTACTGCAAGTTTGAAAAAAAAGAACGAGTTCTTTGGGTGAAAAAAATTACTTTAACTTGATAAAAAAGTTATTTAAAATTTTTCTTGTATGAATTTTCTTAGTTCACATAGAAGAAAAATGTATGAAAATGAAAATTTCGTCGCAGTCGACTCAATTTGAATATTTCTTGTTGAAAAAATGTCTACAGACTACTCAGATATGTATGAAAATAGGATAAAAAGTTCGATAGGAATAATTATTTTTTTCCGTCCTAAAAAAATCACGAAAATCCGCTTTTTTTAGACCTCCTAATTCAGGATACCCCCTTAAAGATTCTTGATTGTTCTGTTACGAATACGATGTAGCGTTCGTATATTATCAAGAAATTCCTCTAGCTGGCTAATAAAAATACACAATCGGTATATTTCATCGTCTCTTCCGTAGGGTGGATTAGGTTGAAAATAGAGAACAGAATCGAGGATTCGCAGGGGAATTTTCTCGTTCTCCTTGGCAAGCTTCCTCCTCTTCTTCCAATGACTCAAGTCCACTGACCGAGACTCGGATGCCACGCTATAAAGTCCAAGAAAAAGTCACGATCGTAAACTCGGCTTGCTTCCGCGCTTTGCCATAGTTTCGAGGCTACCAATCGACGTTGTTTTTCGAGGAACGTTACCCGAACTCTAGAAAGTACGATTTTTCCGAATTTTCGCGGTAAAGTAACAGCGACAACAGTTGTGACAAATCACAACTCTGTTGTTAGTGCTTGTAATTCTTTCGAATAAGTAAACGAATCTGTTTAAAAAAAATTTGCAAAAAATATTTAATTTATATATACTTCCGTGGTAACTGTTGTTTAATCGGTTATGAGATATTTGTTATTATTTCCCTTTCTTTTTCATTTCAAAATCGAAACGTCAATTATCTGTGAGATCCACGTCACATAAATTTCCGTGAATAAAGAGTCTACCATATTCTCTTTTTCCTTTTTTCCCGTCTGTAATTGAATAGCTTAGTGAACCAAGCGTAACAGCGGTCTTGGCTCGCTGTGATTGTTACATGAAAAGTGATTTTATTCAGTGAAAGTGAATTTCTACATAAATAGTCATGTATCGATGTAAGTTTTATTTTTCTAATATAAGTTAACGAAAGGATTAAGATTGTCTGTTCGATTGGAAAAACCTCTTTTCGGATATGTATATTTGATACTAATTCTTTAGCAGAGCCATACATCAATTATTCCACGCGTTTAGGTATTTACGAAAAAAATAATATTGTTATATTAGAACAGAAATAGTTTTCATTATTTCTATGATTACATAATGTGGCCACTAGTTATGGTATGAAATATGAATTGTGAAGTGTTACAAATATTCTGCTAGGTTACTATGAGTACGAATTAAATATTCATCTTCATATAAGTATCAGAATCATAGATTTTAGATCAAGGTGGTTCATGAAGGTATAAAATACGTAGATCGATATAATTCGAAAATAAGGTAATATCGAACGCAAATTATATGTCGCTCCTTGAAACACAATCCGCATATAATAAAATAAAAACATACTCTAAAAAATTCCAGTTCAGAAATATTGATGTTTGATGCCATTTTTTTCTATAGTACTTACAGTATTGGATCTAGGAGAGATCAAAGAGAAAAACTAGTAAAGAATCATCGAGGATTCGGGAATTCCATTCCTATGAATAATAAACATAAATGAATAATTACAACTTTGAGAATTGTACAACATTTGTCACAGGATAAAGGAGTCGTTTTAAGCAACTAAAATTCAGCTAAAAGAATTTTCTCAGTGAATAGGAACCTCTATTTTATATGTATACTGCGGTAGTGGCACTATTTGTTGAAACAGAGTGACATTCTTTTTAACGAAGCCTCATTTATAACTATGCTCACTTTGACTCACATACGAAGCAGGTGTCTGTAACCGTGGCGCCACAGGTGACAGTATCTATTTAACGTTCGTTGATAAATTACGACAGAGCAAAAAACTAAGCCATCGGCGTTGTGCTACTTTTTGGTTTTAAAAGGTGTCGCAGCATTCAATCATCCATGTTATTCGCCTCAATTGGGTCTCTACACCAATTTTATTTTTTATTTCTTAAATTGCAAGAAAAGCAGATCGACGCGATATCAGCCATTCAAAAGGCCTCAATTACTGTTTTTTTTTTTTTTAGGTCATCTTGATGGAAATCTATCAGCCACGTTTGCGAGAACTTTCGCAAATATTGTCAAACGCAATGCTTCTTTAGAACGAATGCGACGTTAAATGAAATCACTATAAAATAAAAAAAAAAAGCAAAAGTACGTGGGGCTACCAACGAAACAAGGCAAGAAATAACTCATAAATTGAAAAGCAGCACGAGATAAGTAAAATTATTATTGCTGATATAAAAAACATATCTTCGCATTGAGAATCTTTAATGCGTTCGCGCCATTAGAAAAAGAAATTGTGATCGTCGTGTAAGGTAGAAAAAAGGTTAAATACCAAGTTAACCAGTTAAGTATACATATGAAGAATCTTGCGTGACTGACAATGAATATACACGGAGTGTCTCCTTTCGATTTTGATGGAACTTTCATTCACCTGCGACAGCTTACATTTAAGGGGTGAAACTACCATTCGATATTGTAGACTTTTGATGGTATCTTCAAACCTGTTAAATATACTAACGTTTCGTAAATTTGTTTACTTCGTTGCTTTACTTCGTCGTTTACTACGTTAATTGGTAAAAATCGTTGTATACGTCTTATTCATAATATGCAGATTATCAAGTGCTGCAGCCAACATGTGTTTAGCCTAATTTAATCGCCATTTTCTCGAAATGGAGCACCTAGGAGCACCTGATCTTTGCAGAATCTGACAGAGGGTGGTTCACCCTTTCCAGTGATAGCAATTAAACCTCGGACAAGTGCAGTCAATTTTTTATAACCACGCGTAAAGTTACAATTTTACTTAAATGTACTTCTCTCCAAGCAGACCGTATTATTTAAAAGGTTGTTAACATTTCGACTTACTTTGTGCATTGAATACTATCTATACAAATCTAGTAAACATTATAATTCATTCGAATATCGTCTTTTCGAGCAAAGTTTTTTTAGAATCGTATATTGAAGTTAGGAGCAATATCGTAAGAGTTTTGCTTGGACGAATTTCAACTGCCTTTTGAATGCGCGCCACAGCAAAACGGAAGAAAATATCAGAAAACGGATTGCATTAGGTTGTCCGAAAAGTTTCTTTCGTTTTATTAATAATTAATATATACACAATATTTGATGTTTTATGTTACATTACTGAATCGTGTACGATTCATTTCGCTGCATTACTGTTACAGCATCAATGTCTAAGAAATTAGATCGTCCATTTATACAAACACTGCCACAGAAAATAATTTTTTCTTTCTTTCTTTCTTTCTTTCTTTTTTTTTTTTTTTATATGGATTTATTTTACATCGCATCTACTGCATGGTAATTAACGACGAATTTGATTGGGTTTCTGATGGTGCTACATACCACTGTAGAGCATTTTGTTGTTCCACATTTTATTCCATTCTTCTTTCGATGCGTGTCGTATTCTCGTAATCAAGTCTTGGTATGGGATTTCTATTTCATTACTTGGAGTCACGGTTGTCGCTTCTCTTGCAACGTGGTCTGCTTCTTCGTTGCCAGTGATGCCTCGGTGGGAAGGTACCCAAGTAATTGTTACGTTTTTGTTTTTGTTTGTAACTTCGGTGAACGTTTCACGGATTTCTTGAATGCGACTCGCGAAAGAAACTTTCGGGACAACCTAACGCATAAACAGTTTTTCCATTTCTCGAATTCACGAAAAATCGATTTTTGATCGCCGAAAGCCATCTCGTCCCCGCGCCGCAGTAGTAAAGGTAATTCGTTCGGAGAATTTCGATGAAAATATTCGCTGGCACCGTGGTATCCTTAAGGTCTCCTCGGTGATCCTCGCAAACAAGGACAGAAGAGAAGGGGATACGAAGTGGTATAGGCACCTTTCTCGCGGCGCTCGCTGTGGAATGGCAAAAAGAGAGGAGGCACTCTGACGTCACATTGGCTGCTCGGTAGTGCCGCTAGCCTCTCACTTGGTCGGCGACGTTCGGCACGTTCGGTCCGTTTCGTTTCGTTTCGTTTCGTTTCGTTTCCCCTTAATTCCGTTCGATTTCGAGCCGATCCGATCTCGTTCGATCGCCTTCCCACTCGAAATCCGGCTGCCAGAGGGAGCTGACCTGCAAAAATCGCTCTCGGACGCGAAAGTGTGCGACATGTAACGAGCCTCGACTAAAGTGTGCAAACTCCGAAGTGAAATTGTTCGGTGTCCGGTGGTTGTTCCGGTTCGCCAGTGTGCCGATGATTATTTTGTTCTATCATTGTGCCATGACACTCTGGATACGATCGTGAATGGATTAAATGGCAGCCACGGTAAGTCTCGTCTCTTCCTGTCACCGTGTTTCCGTTTAGCTTGGACGTACGATTCGTCCTCGCGACCGATCTGTGGGCTTATTATCGTTCTCGTCTTCGCGACGGTTGAAATAAATCGATTCTTTTCGTCAGAGATGGATAAAATACACGAATAATAGGTAGGGGAGACTGGGACCGATTGATGCCATGTATGATTAGGTAAAAATGGTAAACTGACAAGGACAGAGCGTCGAGATGAATAAGGACTAGTTTTCGTGTCTAAACCGACAGTTAATAACAATTTGGTACATCTCGATGATTTGGTCGTTTTAAATCTTTTTATTTGGGTGTATTGCTTTTTCCGCGTGAAATGTAAACTTTCCAACTGCTCTTATTTCGTCCATTACTCCGAAACTGGTGTTCCGTTTTCTCTCTGATTTACATCGTCATGAATATGAATATCTTTGTTGATTTTAGAATTTTAGATACCTGTCTACAACCTTTAGTTTTTTCTTTCTTTTTTTTTTTTTTTGCGTAAAAACTTTTTCAGCAGTTGGAACAACTGTCTCGGAGTCGATTGAAACACTTTTCACTTCGCTTCTACATACTTTTAGAAGTAATTTTTCTAAATCTTGTTTTCTTTTCAGTGAGTGAATCTGATATTTTTTTTTATTATGTATTCGTTGGATGTATCGTTATTGTTTATTAGTTCGATTAAATTGTTTTATCGATTAATACTTGTTATACTTACAAAAATTCATTTAATAATGTTAATTACTCTTGTAGTGGAATATTAAAAAACGATACTAGTTACTCGAACATAATCAACTTTTATTTACAGATGTTTCTATTTCTAAAGAACTTGTAACTATTTTGATAGTATTTACGAAATCAAATCGATATTGTTTATATTTGATCAAAAATGCTCCAATTGTTCCGTCTCCCCTAATAAATAAAAGCAACGAATAACAGTTTATTCGTGACGCTGTTTTCTTTAACCTGTCACCTTCAACAGTTTCATCTTTAACTATTCGTTGCGAAGTATCTCTGTAATTAAAGATTCTAATGTTTGGTCGTTTCATCTTTCGTTCGTTACTCGAAATTTCTATTTAGACGAGAATTTTACTCGTCTTTGTTCATTCTCGTTTTTCTATCATCCATAGGCAAATATGGCATCTGTGTAGGGTCCTCAAATTTTTTTTATATATATTTGTTCACATTAAGTACGATTGGTTAACGGACTCGGTTTCGACTTCGCGTCGATGGCTGAGCAAGTCGTCAAGCAACGATATCGCGATCGTGCGCACTCAAACGGTTAATGGGTATAAGAAACCTAAGAAAAAAGTAGGTAAAAAGTATATTAGAAACGCCCTTGGACAAGAAAAGTTAAGTAATTTTTGAGTAACGTATTCCGAAAGTGATTCCACGAACAAAATTGATTATAACGAACCGACATAAAATTCGTCACAGTCGATTCGATTTGAATATTTCTTGTTGAACAAATTTCTACAGACTACATCAAATATGTATTGAAAATAAGAGAAAAAGTTCGATAGAGTTAATTATTTTTTTCCATCCTAAACAAATTCACGAAAAACGAGCTTTTTTAGACCTCCTAATTCAGGATACCCCCTTAAAATAACTTGAGTTGAACTTAAATTTGTTTATTTACTTGCTTTGGTCGAATAAGATCGAATAAAATCGAATTCAAAAATATTCTTCATTACGTTTTCTTACACGGAGCCGTCGAATTTAATTTAGTTTCGAACTCCGTATAACGCGACACTGGTTATTACGTTTTCCTCCAATGTCGAAAGAATTCATTGTTTTAGTCCCACGGGACAAGGGTGAGAGAGAATTAGCGACATCGCGATCGACAGAATGGAAGGTGGAAACGAGTCGAGAGACTCCGAGAACAGGAAACGGGTTGAAGGGAAATAGAGTATTTTATGATTCTCTTTACCGTCTCTGCACATAACCTGCGTTCGCCATCTAGAAACTCTCGTGAAATCCGTTAAAAATTCGCTCGGCTTCGCGTTGATTTACATGCGTTTCTTAATTGACTTACGTGAACGTATCCATGGACTGTTGACCTTTAAATGTCCGTGCGTTGGAGAACCGCGTCTAAGATGCTCTTTCGTTATCTTGGCCCGAATAATTGATGGTAAACAGCAATGTTGACCAAGGAGAAATTTGATATCTAGATTTACTTTCAAATCGATATCCGTTGATCCTAGAAGAATCTGACATTTTTACTTATTTTTGTAACCTCGTCAAAATTTATGAATTCCATCCCGATTTTATTTTCATTGACACTTAGTCATCAAACTTAATTGATGAATGTAGACTTTTTATTAAATTATTCATAAAATCTTGAATTACGATTTACTAATGAAATGTAGAATTCTTATTAAGCAAGATCCACAACGAGACTGAAAAGTCGTTATTGATATCGAGCAAAAATGGTTTGCTTTATTAT